ATATATATTTTAGTCCAGTTTTTTCATTTCTTGCCTTATTACTTATACCAGACTAAAATATCTCGAAGTCATATTAATAATGTCCAATCGTTTCTCAGTGTGCATCTGCAATTGATAATTTGGCTGCCTTCTATTTCCACAACATTACCATGGGTGAGGCCCCAACTTCACCAGCTGCAATAAATTTTGCTAGTCACATTGCAGAATGCCCAAGTTTGCTCCCAGAAGTGAGTAGTGAATTCTTTTTTTACTAGACCTTTGTCTTGTGGCATTAGTTCTCATGTTCTGTGAGGACCATCCAATTTTTCACACTGATAGTGAGTACATAGTTTAAGATATTTGCTCCACTTGTTCTGTTTCATATTGATAATTGTTTACCCTAACTGCAGCTACTAAAAACTTGTTGCCAAAAATTTTCCAAGAAAATGGTGTAGGAAACTTGATTTGGTTTGCATTAAGATAAAAACACAATGGTTTTCTATGGCATGGGATCTTTATCCTACACTGAAATTGATGCTTAGTCATGGGTATATTTAGTATGTTGATGTTTAAGGATAATCCTTTTCTTGTCATTTGGCAAATCGTCAAATATGGATCAACACACTATATTGTTCACCATGTGAATCTGTTTAACCCCAACTGAATTGCTCATACATTTTTCCCTGGAAAATATTTCATGAATGAGTCTCACAGGCATGCATATAATATTTCCACTCACTCTCTCTCTCTCTCTCTCACACACACACGCGCGCGCACACACATGCGCGTGCGAACTGTAGCTAAACAAATTAGTTCCCAATAAAACTAAGATCTTATTGAGAATGACGTAATTATTACTTGTAAACTGGAATTCATTTTTGTTAAAATTAAAATAAGCTTGGTTTTGTGCTTTTGATGCTGGAATCTGATTATTGCTCGCCTATCCAGATACTAAGAACTCTCTTTGAGATTGTTTTATTTGAGGATTGTGGAAATCAATGGAATCTTAGTAGGCCAATGCTGAGCTTGATACTCTTAAGTGAGCAGGTAATCAATGTCAGTCCACCCCACCCCCCACCCCCCCAAATGATCCATTCATTAGAACTACCTTTTTGTTGTGATCTGGAAGTTTGATTGTCAGGGGACTATTGTGCTAATTCCTGTTTTTCAAATTTGGCCTGATGTTTTATTTTTGAGATTTTCATCAGTGTTTACTAACTGTAATTCTACCTTTGTAACACTGCACTATTGGGATTATGTATTTTCAGCCTTTAGGTTTGTCAGTCTTCAAGTCTCTTTCCGTTGCCTGTCTTGTGTCTTATCTTTACTAAATGTGCATACATTATCATTTAAGTTCACATAAGGGTTAGACATCGTACGTCTATTACTCTGTTACTTATGAAGATCTAGAACATTCAATCATTCCATGATTGTAATTTAGTTATCATTCACGTCCTTGTGCTGTCTTCGTTGTGTTTTTGAATCTTACAGAATTCATACCTTAGAAATTTTCTTCTCATTTTCTTTAAATTAGCAATATGTGATTATTAACTGTAAGGCCATGACTTGTGCAGATGTATTCAGGCTTGAAGGCACATATATTGGCTTCACAGGTGAATTTTTATGCTTTTGCTGCTGTTGGTTAATCATTCACCACTTGTCTATGCTTGGCCACAACTGCATAATATTTGTTAGTTATCAAAATTTTTATTGCTTCTTCAGCTCATGAGACTGTTTGTCCATCCATATGATCTTATCTGAACCATGTTTGGGAGAGGCTAATTTCCTTGCCAATGGTTAGCATGTGAAAGAAGAGAACTTTTCTTAGGAAGTAACTGAATAATTTAATTTTGCTTCTTAATGTGTGTAGCTTTAATGATGAAATGAAAGGGAAAAAGACCATTCTAACCAAAATTAGGCTTTGGGAAGCAACAAGAATTTGAATCTTTATTTAGAGGGATATGCACTTATAGAAATTTCATTTTATCTACTAGTAAGGATATGGTCTCTAGAAGGGAGAGTAGTAAGGTAGTAAAGTCTCATAATTTGCTATCTTTATAATATTTCCTATTTTAGAGATGCACATTTAAACTTTGTGTGAGATTACTATCCTATACCATTCATCTGGAAATGTTGGTCCAAGCTATTGACGATTGGGTAAAATGATTCATTTTCTTTGCGTTTGTTATGATTCTTTATCTGGAGAGCATTTTCATTGGAACCCATATCCTTTTTAAAAAGAAACCATAGATAATTCTTCTTATAAAATTCTCATTAATGTGATTTAAGAATCTAGTTTCATATTTCTACTTTACCAATATTCTCCTTTATGATCAATATCTTTTGAAGCTCTTCTTGAACGATATATTTATGTGGGAAATCAAATGTTTGCTAAGGAATCCAAGACCAACCAATTTACTTAATCGAAGGAAATCAATTATTAACCTACAAGGCGGGTCTGCAATAAAATCGAAACATCAGCATGAATCTGTTAGACTTCAAGTCCCAATCATTATTATGCAATCTTTCATTTTGAGCAAGTAGAAACATGCTGTTTTAGCACGGTCCATTGATCCATTATTTTAATGCAATGGAGATATCAAAGTCGAATTATATTTCTTCCGTTGTTGCTGTGCATGTTCATAATGTGATGACATTTTGTGTCATCTTGCAGCCGGTAGATCAACATCAGCGCCTTTCGTTGTGTTTTGACAAATTAATGGCTGATGTTGTTCGAAGCCTGGATTCGAAGAACAGAGACAAGTTCACCCAAAATCTTACCGTATTTAGGCATGATTTCCGTGTCAAGTAAGTCCTAATTCGCTAACCACAAATGTGTTACATCACCAAGTTTATTATTTACAAAACCCCACGAACCTGAACCCCGCTTACAAATGTAGAAGTGAGCATGTGTTTTGACCGGGGTTATGCTGAATACAGTGAGTTCTTGACATTGTACATTCATTTTTTTTTTTTTTTAATAGAAGCAAAGAGTTAGGTGCGTGACATTGATTAATAGCCATCTAAATAGGGGTTTATCAGATGAAATTGATGTCGAGTTTGGTTGTGTATGGCCATGTAATTTTCTACATGTATAGACGAGTAATTCTCAGCTTCTTTTGGTTCAGAAATGAATTACCTGCATTCTTTTGTGGATAGCAGAAAATGGAAATTTCAAGATCAGCTGGATTATACAAATTATCAAACTTTATATAGTAAATTTTCATTTTTTGCGGTTACGGAAAAATTTCCAGGCGGCCGACCCGGCCCAAAATGGAAAACGAGGCAAGAATGGATAAATATATAAAATAATTAAGAGGGAGTGGAAAATGAAAGCCTTTTTATTTTATTTTTATTTTTATTTTTTAAATTATCGCACCACCTACACAATCTGCTGGGCAAGATGCCTAATATTTATAACGTTCTAATAATTAAAGGTTGAGATATTGTTGGTTAAGCAATTAATGTGATTTTTTTCAATAAAAATATTTTTACACGTGGATTAATAACTTTTTACTACTACTTCACTAGAGATCCACCCCCCCCCCCAAAAAAAATAAAAAAAAATTAAATAAATAGAAAAATTTACTATCCAAAATATTCATTTTCAAAAAATCTATATCGAACAGACTCATAATATGTTACTACGTATGATAACTTAGCGTGTTTTTATTGTAGCATGTTTGATTTTCACCTACAAAAAATCAATTAAAAGTATTTTTTGGAAAACATTGTAGAAAAATAACAAGTGAACATTATCATAGTCGTGTTTCAATATAATATTGAGTAATAGACAAGCACTAGTGACTAGTGTCACAATAATTGACGAGTAACGCGTTAAGGGGGATTTATATTCCGTGCCTTCATCATCTACTAAATATAGAATGATTAAAGTTTGAGAGTAGAGTTTAATAATGTGAGCAAGCACGGGTATTTCATGAGCAAAATACAGACATGCATACGTAACGTACACAACTTTTATACTATCACCAAAACCTCGTATGTGAAAGGGCAATGCAGAGGATAAATTGTCTCTTTGTCTAATTGTCTTGCATTGTGTTACGTCACTCTCTCTACAACTTGGAGTATGGACATGTTATGGTATGGCCCTATCAAAGTTTGACATAGGGTGGACATTAGTATAATGAATATGATATTTTTCATTTTTAATATTATCTAGTATAGTACAATCGACTCTATCAAATATATCGTTAAAAATGGATAAAAATACCGATTCAATTAAATATATGGTTAAATATAAAATTTGATCAACTTATAATATCAAAAAAGCTTTATAGAAGATGAACTTTATTAACTCAAATAGTTGCGAACTGCAGACAACAGTTACCTGTTTGGCGTATATTTTAATCTAAGTCAAAATCAAACAATCAAATATTAACTACTTTTTTCATGGATCCCACAACTTTTCAATCACGCATTTCAAAAACTTCTATTAATCCTTACCAAATACCCTCTTAATAAGTTAATATCCAAATCTAAAGAGAAAAAATACATAAATTAGTGTACATGTCTATGTTAGTCGATTATCAAACTCGCATCCATAGGAGGCGAATGGATGAACAAGTCATGGCTTTATAAGGACCATCAAGGGATTATTAGTCAGTCGTGACTTCTAAAACAACAGAATGGAATTGAATAATCCAAACCAAAATGTTTAGATCAATTAATTAAGACACTTTTCCTATGAAGACGAGAGCAAGAAGACTCAACATGGGACTTCGAAGTTTGTTTAACGGAACAAAAGATGAAACAAAACTCATATTATGATAACTTTATATGTCTCGGTCAGAAAAGTTTCCCAATGAATCTTTTTTCTTTCACAAGGTAGTATCTTATCGAAGGATGAGTAGATATGAATAAAGAAAAATTTCAACTGTTTCACTAAAAGAAATAAGCAATGACAAAAATACAAGATAGAGTGTCTCGTAAAAAAAAAAAAAAAAAGAAGAAAAAAGAAAAAAAATCCTCTATATTGCTCTAAGTATTATGTTGTTTTATAGGTTAGATATCAACCGTTTCACATGGACAGCGATGGATGCCTAAACAATTGTATTTCTTTCATTAAGGCTTGATTTGTTATTGTTATATTTGTTAAAATAATTATTTATTGATGTGCTGAATAAAGAATCAGTTGATGAAAGAATCATATAAGTGTTTGGTGAACTTTTGTTTCAAAATTATCGTATGATTCAAAATCATTTGCGCATTTGGTAAATAGAAGTGATTTATTACTGCACTTGTTGTTTATTATTATTATTATTATTATTTAAAAAATCTATTGAATCTAAAAAATTATAAAATTACAAAATAAAATCGTAATCTATATAGTAGCAAATATTTGAATACATTTAAATTGTCTTTTGTACATCAAACCTGCCACATTCGGTTTCTCAATTTCTTCATGTTCGTATAAGAAGAGAAAAAAAATATTAAATGAAGTTTAAATTATCTTTAATGTGAACTATGAAATGGAGAATGTTTTATTATTAGAATATTGTTAAAAATGTCATAAAATGAAGTACTTTAATTAACTAGAGTAGAAATGATTTCCTACCTGTGACAGGTAGGATAAAACATACCCATCGTTGATTTGGTGATGTCATGTTAGCAGTGAATCCTATAATTTTGAATAATGCTATTTAGTCCTATTGAGATTATAACATCAGTTTATGTGGTTTTAGATTATATGCTAAATGAAATGTGATTAATTTCGCTTATTATTTAACGTCATATTAGTATCGCATAGACTGAGATTATAATTCTAATAGGGCTAAATAGCATTATTCTATAATTTTGGACAATTCAACGTTGAAGTATAAAAAATTGTAGGCTCACGTAAACAGTGGACAAGATAATTCATAACTTCTACCCATCGTGGGTAGGTCACCATTTATGTTAACTAGAGTTCAAATTGGTATTGCAATAATTGATTTGCTTTTCAAAATCTGCTACTAAGTGTTACATGTTCTTCTATAATTACTTTAAAAAAAATAAATAAATTATGTAACGGTTCACACAACTTCTTATTCTTTGATAATTAGAAGTTAACATCTAAAATCAATTCTATTTGGGTCCTAAATAAGCTTATCAATAAAGAATAACTATAGT